TAAGGAGAGAGATATAAAGAAACAACAATGATGAGAGGGAATCATTGATTGGCTGCCTTCTGCCCCCCCCTCTCCCCCCTCCTGGAGACGGAGCCTGCAACCCAGGCATGTGCCCTTGACCAGAATTGAACCTGGGACCACCAAATTCTATCTACTGAGCCAAACCAGCTAGGGCCCAAGAAATCTTTTGAAACCCAAAGATTTGTTGCCCTTGCTCTAGAAGAGGTTTGAGGAAAGATAATTTTTATTTAGTACTCTACATCAATTTTAGAGAAATAATGCAGTATATTTTGCCAACACATGGTGAATAGAGGGTAATGGAGGAGAATGGTGAATTGGGCACCAGAGACCTGAATTCAAGCACCAGTTCTGGCCTGGCTGGTATGGCTCAGTTGTTGAGTGTCAACCTATGAACCAGGAGGTCACAGTTCACTAGGCGGGAGGCCTCCCCTCTGTGTCTCTCTCTCTCTCTCTCTCTCTCTCTCTCTCTCTCTCTCTCTCTCTTTCTCTTTCTCTCTTTCTCTCTCCCCCCCTGCCCCCCCTCCCCCTGCTCTAAAATAAAAACATTTTTTAAAAAAAGAAAAAGCCAGTTCTGCTATTTCTTAGCTGTTTGGCCAGGGCAAGTTGTTTAATCACTTTAAGCCTTTTCCAAAAATACTTGCTGTAATAGAATTGTTTTTGAGGATTCAATGAGTAATGTATGTAAAGTACTTTAGCATAATGCCTGGCATATGGTTATTATTCAGTAATTAGATACTCTCATTGTTAGCCTTGCAGAAAAGAGTTTGTCAAGACCTAAAAGATCTGTAGTTTCCTAGGTCGTTTTTAATGAATCAGATTATATTGTTGTTAGTGGCTTCATTTTATCAAAACTGAATTTATTGAATATAACCATATCTTTAAAATAAGCATAAATGCATTTAAATTGCACTTCTGTTTGCCGGTATCTGTGGTTTGTTTTGTTTTCTTTAATGGGGTAGATGATCAGATTGACTGGATTCATGGTTAAGTGTAAAGAGCCCGATTTAACCAGAGAATTATTTTAGGATGACCTAAATATAGCTAGGAGCACTATACAAAAAAAATTAGGAAATTTTAATTTTGGTTTTGAATCATTGTTTAAGATTAATTTTATTATTGTTGTTTTTTGATTTTTATTATTACCTCAGTGATAGATTGGGCAAGCTACCATTATCACCTAAACAAAAAGCTATGTTTTCCAAGTGGGTACGCCCAGAAGACCTCAGCAACAATCCTACAATGATTTATACTGTGTCCAGTTTCAGCATAAAACAGGTATATGTTTTGTATAATTTTATATGAAAGCTAGCATTTTTAAATAATTTGGATATAGATTTGACTTTTTTCTTAAGTTTTTATTACATATTCAGATGCATGAGTATATTTGGAAAAATTATTCTGCACACTTTGATTTAGACATACTGAGATAATAAAAGTGTGAATAACTACTTTGAGCAGTCACAGGGTTTTATATAGATCCTATTTATGGACACATGCTTGCAGATTAGAAAGTTGAGAATATGAATTTTACCGTTGATAAGATAATAGAAAAGATAGAAATTGGGCTTACTTAAAACACTTCAATGTTGAAACAACAATATGGCTTTATTGCAAACTTTAAGTTTTGCAATGAAATCACAGGCGTCTTCCACATTAGTATAAAATAATGATCCTGAAATACTATGATTCAAGAATCTTTTATATACATACTAGAGGTCCAGTGCACAAAATTCGTGCATGGGTAGGGTCCCTAGGCCTGACTGGCAGTCAGGGCCAATCAGGGCCTTTCTTCATTCTGTGCTGCCCCCTCGTGGTCACTGCCTTTCATGGGAACAATTGAACTCCCGAGGGGACAATTTGCACATTAGCCTTTTATTATATAGGATTCATCTTTAGAGGTCATAAACCAACTTTTTAAATACCTTTAATTTTTTGTCCACATTAAAAGTATGATTCACTTGATAAAATGGTAAAGGGATTAAGAAAACACACACACAACACAACAGACATAGACAACAGTATGGTGATTATGAGAGGTAAAGAGGAGTGGGGAAAGTTGGAGAGAGTAAAGGGGGGTATAGATGGTGATGGAAGGAGACTTAGCTTGGGGTATGAACACACAATACAATATACAGGTGATGTATTACAGAATTGTACCCCCGAAATCTATATAATTTTATTAACTGGTGTCACCCCAATACAATTTAAAAATAAAGTAACATTGTAGAAAGAAAAACAGTGGGCATGCCTTTATTTATGCAAGGAATGCATCATCCATATTTAATTATTCTAAATTCATTGAAATAGTTTATTTGGTTTTTCAAAGATTTATTTGAACAAAATTTGAGTTGGCAGTATGGCATTTCTATTTATTTCCTACTCAAGCAGTAAAGATATTTAGTATAAAAAGGTGCAATGCTTAAATATTGTGGAAATGTTGATACATGAATGAATGAAATATACTAATGGATTCTTATTAACAGACAATAGTATCAGATTGTTCCTTTGTCGCATCACTGGCTATTAGTGCAGCTTATGAAAGACGATTTAATAAGAAGTTGATTACCAGGTAAAAATTTATATTTGTTTCTTTAGCCCTTTTCATGTAATTGTCTTAAATAGAAATTTAAAATGTAGACCTTTTTGGCTTAGAAAGTAACGAGAGTGTATCACTCAGAATATTATGGCCCTTATGTGTTAAGCAGATGATTTGTGAATGTGAACAAGTTTGCTAAAACAGTGTAAGAATGTATGTATATGTAGTTAATATATGAAGAATAAATGTGTCTTGAAATAAATGAAATTGGTCAAAGTAAAATTAAGTCATGTTTATAATTTCACTCGCAGTCCGGGTCCCTCAGCCCGGATTGCATGAGGGCACAGGCCAGGCTGAGGGACTCCACTGGTGCATGATCAGGGCCAGAGAGGATGCGGGAGGTTGGCCGGCTGGGGAGGGGCAGCAGGAGGGCTCCAGGGTGTGTCCAGCCCATCTCATCTCGCTCAGTCCCCATCAGCTGGACCCCAGCAGCAAGCTAACCTACCAGTCGGAGCATCTGCCCCCCTGGTGGTCAGTGTACATCATAACGACTGGTCAACCAGTCGACTGTCTGCCCCCTAGTGGTCAGTGCACGTCATAGTAAGCAGTGGAGCATCCTTAGCATATCATTAGCATATTACACTTTGATTAGTTGAATGGATGACGGGACACTAATTATGTTAGGCTTTTATTATATAGGATTGTACTGTATGATAGCCACTAGCCACATGTGGGTATTGAATACTTAAAATAGCTAGTCTGAATTGAGATGGGCTATGAATATACAGTAAAATGAGTCAGATTTTGAAAACTTAGCACACAAAAATATATGAAATAGGCAAAATATTTTAAATTTTTATATTGTAAAATTAGAATATTTTGGAGATGTTAAGTGAAATATGTTAAAATTACTCTTTAACATTTAATATAAAATATATGTAATATGAAATAACATTTCTTTTGACTGGAACTGCTTTCGAATAAGAAATGTTATTGAAATTGTGGGGGGGATATTTTTTTAAGTTTTATTTGCTTAAAATTATTTATTATAAAAACTAAGTGTCAGAATTTTTTCAATACAACGTTTCCTGAGTGGTTTTTGTATGTTAAATCCTAAAAGTATAAAGGTGAATTAGATACAGACTTTAGTTTCAAGCTATTTGCCATCTTGGATAAACATCATACATATAAATAATGTGTGAAAGAAAATTGATACTGATTGTTTTTACAAGTATCTTATTGGATAATTTTGTATAACTTTTACCAGTGTTGTTTTAATTTTATCTCTGTCTGAGTTGTAGTTTGTTGCCTTAGTTGTGGTTAATTGAAATATTCTTTACTTCTTGGGGTCAATAGTAGATTATTTTATTTGGCTTAAAATATGTCCTCTTAATAGAAAATTTATTAGAGTATATAATTTAACACTGAGCATTTTCATGAATATTTTGAAATTTATGCCCTGCTGTATGATCTCATAATATACTTTATTCATTTATTTACATGAAAAAAAGCACTTTGATTAGGGTGAACTTTTTTTCTAGGCCTACTATAGAAAAATATTCTCATGTTTATTTTTATCAAATTGTCAAGACAGTAGCACATGTCTATAATATTCTGCATAGTAGTTACGTTAAATATTAATGTTGGTATTTCATTATTGAATATTAATTGGTAATATTTATTTTCTTTACAAAAGCATAATTTACCCTCAGAATAAGGATGGTGAGCCAGAGTATAATCCATGTGGAAAGTATATGGTAAAACTTCACCTCAATGGTGTCCCAAGAAAGGTGAATAATGTGTCTGTCCACTCCTATCTCATCTCATCTCTTCTCTTCTCTTCTCTTCTCTCTCTCTCTCGTCTCTCTTCCTCTCCTCCCTCCCCCTTCCCTACCTTTAAATATTGAATAGGATCATTAAGAAATGTTACTTTTATAAACATTTTAAAAACATGTAAGCATTTTAACATTTCATTGACTTTGAATCTGATATGCATACTGCTATCAGTAACAAATGTTAATAATTTTAAAAAAATAATCATGACAAGAATAAAGTTGTTTTTTTTAATGGTTTTGGGAAATTTATAGAAAGTTCCAAAAAGTAATTATTTTAGATACAGTGTACATTTCTAGAATCCCTAATAATTTTGATGGTAGATTCATTGTATTTAGCATCTAATTAGCTAAAGGTTATTATCTCACAGGGAGATTAGTGTGAACTTGAATTAAAACATCATATAACATTTTTATTTTTTTTATTTTTTTAAATATATTTCTTTATTGATTTCAGAGAGGGAGGGGAGAGATAGAATCATCAATGATGAAAGAGAATCATTGATTGGCTGCCTCCTGCACGCCCCCCACTGGGGATCAAGCCTGCAACCCAGGCATGTGCCCTTGGCCAGAATCGAACCTGGGTCCCTTCAATCCGCAGGCTGACGCTCTATTCCACTGAGCTAAACCAGCCAGGGCTTTTCTTCTTTTTTTTAAAAAAATACATTTTTA